AAAAAGCCAAGAGAAAATGTATTCCCCTATGCCAAAAAAAAGTGGAAAATAAAAAATTATTAATAGTTGGTACAAAAAAATTGCCAGCTGGTGGACTTGGATTGATTGAATTAATTATGGCATTGAGAGTTTGACTGGACTAGATACTCTAATTGTCAGATGAAAGGAATAGGACTTGAGTGTGTATTGTTTACAAGAATTTTTATTTTTACTTTTTAAATTTATTAATAGATAGAGAACCAATGTGTAGTACAGATTGGCCTCGAACTCTTGAACTATATAAGTGCTGCTGCTTACATGGCACTTTAAGGATTTGGGGAAGTTTAAAAAAATTTTTTTTAATTGCTAAAAAATACACCATGCATCATTGATTAGGTGAAAGCTGTTTATGTGATAATTAAAGCAGACTTTAAAATGAGAAGTATCGTCAGTGAAAATGAAGGATGTTTCAGATTATACAGACGTCAAGTTATCAATAGTTTATAACAGTCCTGAGTATTTAACGTTCCTACTAACAACCTGAAAATACCTGAAGCAAATATGAGCAAAGCTAAAAAAGAAGGAACACTTCCAAACTTTGAAGCCAACTTAATCCTGATAAGAAAGCCTGTCAGGGATGGGGGTTGTGACTTGGCAATAGAGCTCTCACCTAGCACATGCAAGGCCTTGGGTTCAATCCTCAGCACCACATAAAAAATAAATAAAATAAAGATATTGTGTCCAACTTCAACTAAATATAATTTAGTAAATGTATTTTACATAATGTATGTTTTTTTTTTTTAAGAGAGAGGAGGGGGGGAGAGAGAGAGAGAGAATTTATTTATTTATTTATTTTAGTTCTCGGCTGACACAACATCTTTGTTTGTATGTGGTGCTGAGGATCGAACCCGGGCCGCACGCATGCCAGGCAGAGCGCGCTACCGCTTGAGCCACATCCCCAGCCCCCATAATGTATGTTAATAAATATTATATATATATATATTATGTATATATATATATCTTTATTTAAAACAAAGAAAGCCTGTCAGGATTATAAGAAAACCATTTGTGTTGAAGTAAGCTTTCTTGAGATGTCATTTGGACAAAGACTAAAAGAAGGCAAGGGCAGTACACAACCAAGGATGAAGAGGCCGCCAACAGAAATGGGGAAAACTGCAGGTTAGACATTTGGGGGGAAGGGTCCGTATATTTAGTTTCCAGTATATGTACTTGGGGGTTTCTACTAGAGTTGTTTTGAATCAGATTTTGGAATTCTGGAATGAAGTTTAGGCTACAGACAAATTTGGAAGTAGGCAGCATTAAAGTCATAGGAATGAATAAAATCACCAAGAAAATATGTGCAGGGCCCTCATAGAATTGTTTCAACATCAGCTTTCTTATGTACCCATGGGGTAATTTATATTTCAGCCTTATCGAACAGGCTACAGTTTTGGAAATACACCATTACTATTTTGTTAATGTTTTACCTTCTCCTTAGACTGTACATCTTACCTTCTTTCCACAATAAGAGCTCAAGAAAAGTTTAAATTCACTGAGTTCTTAGAAACTGTGTTTTTATATTAATTTTCTAATAGAGATTTGGGACTTCAAAAAAACTTTGGGAGCTCTTCTACTTTTTGGTTGTTATAGTCATGGGATATTCTCATTTTCTTGACATTTCTACATATCCCTTATGTTGAGATTATCCTATGCCTTTAATACTGCACATGTTCTTTGCTAAATTATAGGTTGATATTATATTACTGATATATTTAGAATATCCACATCTTAAAATAATTTTGAAGCTAAGTGATCAGGATTACAGAAGTATTCCATTTCAATTAGACATATCATGTTAATGAAAATAAACTATATTTGAAGCTAAATTTTGCTGACAGTTGTACCTTTAGTCACCACTTTGAAATTGTTTCTAGTATATTCTGACCATCTAGTAAGAATCTAATTGATTTTTCAGACAGCTACCAAACAGTACCTGTTTGCATATAGAAAAATACTGAGAGACTGTGTCAAACTATTTCTGGTCTTGTTCCTCAGAATAGTTTCACTTCCTAAGTCATTTCTATGATTATGCACCTAAAAAAAAAAAAACTTGTAAAAAATTAAGCAAGGAAAGATTAAGCTGCTATACTGTAATGATTCAGTTTTGTTTCTTCAATATAGGCTTGATCTGCCAAGCCTAATGAAAACTTTTTTTTTTTTTTTAGTACTTTTATTCAATCTAGGACATGCCCTGTAATCACTTTTTCCTCATGTATGAAGTCAAGTACCTGGTTATTATCCAGAAAATTATAAATATACTTAAAGCCTGATAACTGCCAAGAGGTCATTCTTCAAATTTTAAAAACTATAGTCTTTTCACTTATCATTTAGAAGCTTGAGTTCCTAAGTTCTTTAGTTACTCATTATTATTTAAATTTAAACTTAATGTATTTTTCCAGTCACTTTTAAAATACAGAGGCTAAGACTTTTATTTTAAGAAAATGCACTGGWGTAGTTTAAGTGATATCTCTGAATATAATCAAGAGAAGCTATATTGTATGTAAAATAAATTACTGTACCCAATTTGTGGCACTATGGGAAGTTAAAGAGAAGATGGTATAGGTAAGATGTGATCTCCTTATTTAATGGAATCCTATATTTTACATGATATCAGTATATCAGTATCTGCAGAATATTTAAAATAAGAATGGTAGACAGCAAGGCAGTAAGCCCAGTGGATTTCAGGTAAGAAAGGGTTTGGGACAAGATGTAATTTACTTCAGTTTTTTTTTTTTTTTTTTTTTTTTTTTTAATGTGGTGCTGAGGATTGAACCTAGGGCCTTGTATGTGCTAGACAAGCACTCTACCACTGAGCCATAACCCCAGCCGTAATTTACTTCAGTTTTAAAAAAGAAAAAAACAAGCTATGCTTCAATTAAGAGGAGAAGTTATTATGAATGAGCTGAAACCTACTTAAAGAAGACATGAATCTTACACAGGGAATTCAATGCAGTTGTCAGATACTTTGGAGAATACCATATTTATTTGTATGACCAGAAAATGGAAAAGAAATTTAAAAAAATCACTGACTGCTAAGAAAAGTTTTGTGCTTACATTTTAAGAAAACAATATATGTAAGTGTGATTGAGTTGCTGTTAGTAATACATAATAGTGGAATAAAAATTACATAATTGAGGCACAAAGACTGAAGGTCACATGACAGGAAGGATACTTTACACTATCTTTTGAGTTCTGGATGCAGAGTACTTAAGTAGAAGATTGAGTTTCTTTTTTTTTTTTTTTGCTTCCAACTCCTTAGCAAGAGAATGTTTTTCAAACAGGGCACTACAGAGTGATATACTTCTTAGAGAATTCTAACATAAGAAAATAGTATAGCATATTGACTTCTGTCTAAATAAATAAACTTTACACATTTCTTTTGTTAGGTCATCCTGTTGTGATCTATAATTATAACTGTCCTTAACAACAGGGTTTGGGACTGGGATTGTAGCTCAGTGATAGAGCGCTTGCCTAGCATGGGTTTCATCCTCTGTACCACATTTAAAAAAAAAGAAGGGAGTTTAGCCACATGTGGTGGCACGTGCCTATAATCTCAGCAATTTATCAAGGCCCTAAGCAACTTAGTGAGACCCGTTCTCCAAATAAAATAGAAAAAAAGGGCTAGGGATGTGGCTCAGTGATTAAATGCTCCTGAGTTAAATCCCTGATACAAAAAGGAAAAAAAAAAAAGGTTTAATGCTTCTATTATCTGTTTCAATGCTTCAGAAAGTTTTTTTTAATTGCCTATAGTTTGTGCTATATATTTAAAAATATCCTTTTCAGATATTTTTCTGTAGATATTAACAAAAGTTGTAGTATTGAATATATAGGTGGAATATACTTTTTTCTCCACAAAATTATAATACAGCGTATTTCTGTGCCAGAAATTTGGATATAGCATGTTTAACTTTAATCAGTCTCATCAGTAAACACTTTTTTATCTTTGCTTTTTCCTTTTTACTATTCTAAGTATGGTAGAATGTAGACATTCTTGTTGAGTCATTTGCTCAACACACCCCAAATGTGATACAAATGATTAATAAGCATACTTGTTTGCAATTCATTGCTGTTAGATTCGAATGCCTTTATAATCTGAAACTAGCAGCTTTATAGGCAAAATAACTTGGTTACTGTATGAAACTTTTTAGTTTTAATCCCTTTTTCCATGGAATCAGTTCTTTTGATTACATAGTTTTTGTAGAAATGCTACTATTGCATTTTTTCCCCCCAAGAGTGAAAGAAGTAGGATTTATTCATGTGTGAAAAATAGAAACAGAACTCTGGTGGGGGTGGGCAAGAATGGACCCAATTCTTGATAATTTTCAAACTTGTGTTTTTCAAAATGTAGATTCTGTTTCCAGAGATTCTGGTCCTGAAAAGGGGGGTGGGATGTCCAAGAATGTGAATTTTGAGTACCGCCACTGTGACTTTGAAGTAGATGGCCCCAGGAGGGCCACTATTCTCAATTAATAGGCACATAATTATTACACAAATTATTTTCTTGGGATAAATGTTAGAAGTAGGATTACTTATTTCAGTACATTGTACTAGATAATTTTTCTCAAGAGATACTGTATATTTACCATCTGTAAGGTTTAAGAATACCATTTGCTACTTCTCTTGCTAATATTAGGTGTCATCATTCTTTTTGATCAATAGTTGTATCTAATTTTTTGAATAGTAAACTACAGGGAAATCTTTCCTGTTCATTTTAAGATATTATTCTGGCTTTCTTAATAGTTGCATACTATATTTGTCCCTTGTATGAAAGTTACTAGCAAAATTGGTATTGAATATCTGGCCATATTTGCTTAAATGGTAATAGTTTTAGGAATATGAAGTCATTATGAAAATGTTGGATTTGTTGATCATGAAAAAAAAACTTGTTACCCATTTAATATGTTATCTTTATAAATGAGAAACTAATTATATTTTATTGAGTACATATTGGTTTGTTCCAGTAGCCGGATCGAGTTGGGAGATGTAACACCACACAATATTAAACAGTTGAAGAGATTGAACCAGGTCATTTTTCCAGTCAGCTACAATGACAAGTTCTACAAGGATGTGCTGGAGGTTGGCGAGCTAGCAAAACTTGGTAAGATATGGCTTTTTTCCTTATTTCTGTTTTAAAATTTGTAGTTTTAAACTTCACCCGTTACTATTAGAGCAAGAAGACTTAACTAATTTGTCTTTTTATTTTACAAGTGAGGTTAATGGAGTGGTTCAGGTTCTAAAAAAAATATAGAATATTTGAATTTTTTAAATGGAATCACTAAATATTCTTTATTACTTAGTGTTTGCCTGTATGTTACCAATGATTTAGCTTTACAGACTTCTGAGACAATGTAAGAGGTTTTCGAAGCCATTGATATTCATAGGATAGCTAATTAAAATTTAATGCTTATAATAACAACTTAGTCTCTTAGAAGAAATGATTAAATGTGTTGTTTTGTCTATTGAACTTTATGTCTTTATATTTTCTATGGCAGCCTATTTCAATGATATTGCTGTAGGTGCAGTATGCTGCAGGGTGGATCATTCACAGAATCAGAAGAGACTTTACATCATGACACTAGGATGTCTTGCACCTTACAGAAGGCTAGGAATAGGTAATTCATTCTTTCTTCTTCCTTCCTCCCTCCTACTTTCCCTCCCTCCTTCAAAGCCTAAGTACCTTGTTAAATCTTTTTGATATAATAAGTCAGTTTATTTCTTTTATAAAATAAAGTGAAAATAACTAGTGTTTACTAACATAATTCAATTGAAAAACCCTCCATGGATTTGTCTAATTTTCCCCCCACTTAAATATCTATCTGTAAATATTTGTATAAAAAATTGCTCTATATTTATCTCTTAGTATCTAATGTTACCTCTTAAATTTTATTAGGTCTCAATAAGTAGTTCAGTTGGCAAATAGGTATAGAATTTAAAGGTTGCTTTTTAAGGTTACTTATTTGTTGTTTGTATTATTAACAGGAACTAAAATGTTAAATCACGTCCTAAACATCTGTGAAAAAGATGGCACTTTTGACAACATCTATCTGTAAGTAAAATAATATTTAATGTTCTTATCTCAAAAGTTTAAATGTCAATAAAAATCATTACTAGAAATTTTAAAATCTGATCACTTACTGTATCTTAAAAAAATACCATGGAATAATTGTTGTACAGTACCTGTATAACATTGCTTCTAGGACCTGCCCCCCTGATCCCCCTCATAGATACCAAAATGAGTGATTCAAGCCTCTGTATAAAATGGCAGCATATTTACCTTAAGACCTACAGATATCCTCCCGTATGAAATCCAATTAGATTACTTATAATATTTACTATAATGTAAATGCTGTGTACATTTATTATTGTACTATATTGTTTAGGGAATGACAAGGAAAAATACAGTGGACCTGTTCATTCAGATGCAATTTTCTTTCCTAATGTGTTAATCCTATGTAGAAGCAGAACCCAGGAATGTGATGGGGCCTGCTGTAGTTGTAACAATGCTTTGTTGTTGTTGTTGTTGTTGTTGTTTATTTGGTACCAGGGGTTGAAACCAGGGGTGCTTAACCACTGAGCCACATCCCTAGCCCWTTTTTTTTTTTTTTTTTTTTTTTTTTTTTTTTGAGACAGGATCTTGCTGAGCTGCTTAGGGCCTTGTCAAATCGCTAAAATTGGCTTTGAACTTGTGATCCTCCTGCCTCAGCCTCCCAAAATGCTGGGATTACAGGCTAGCAGTGCATCACCGCACTGGACTACTTGATACAATGTTTATTTGGTTTGTTTTAGTAATAAATAAAGAATCTGAGACACATTGCTACATTATATTGGGATGGGAACTACAAAGTCATATAAATGAAGTCAGGATTAAAACTCGTTCAGATTTAAAACCATTCATATTATTAATATTATTTTTCTCATGCCTTGCTGTTTGTACTGTTTCATTCAAGGTTGTCAGTGATATACCCATTTATACTACAATTTTAAAAAATCAAAGTCAGAGGTAATTCTCTGAGGTTATATTTGACTCTTAAAAGGCTGCAGATTAAGAACAAGACTAAGATTATTACTGGATGTTTGTAATTGTAATTCAGTTTGGAGATGGCAGATATTAAATAATATGGTATTATTTTGAAGAGTAATTGAGAAAGCTCTAATTTCTTATATTTTTTTTGTTGTTGATGTTGTTTTTGCTGGGAGCAGTGGCACACATCTATAATCCTAGAAAATTTGGGAAGCCAAGGCAGGAGGATTGCAAGACCAACCTCAGCACTTAGCTAGGTCCTAATGCGCCCCCATCCCCTGTGCCCCCCCCCCCAAATTCAACATGTTGTCTTTCATTTCAAAGGAAGACAACAGATTTGAGACCCTAGTTTTAAAGTTTTTTATCATTATTTTTTCTGCTTTTGTCTGTATGACCTCTGATTCCTGCCTATGGTTATCTAAACCCCACCCCAAGTTTAGTTTTTTTTTTGTATTAGAGATTGAAACCAGGAGCACTTTGCCACTGAGCTACATCTCCAGTTTTATTTATTTATTTATTTATTTATTTATTTATTTATTTATTTATTTATTTATTTATTTATTTTGAGACAGCATGTCACTAAGTTGCTGAGACTCTATTTAAACTTCTGATCTTCCTGCATCAGCCTCTGGAATAGCTGGGATTATAGTTGTGTACCACCACACCCAGCTATTTAATCCATGTTTAATTATAGAAATCTTTTTTTTTTTCCCCTTACTGGCAAAAGTAGGGCTTGGTTTCCCTTTGTTAACTGTAATACTAAATATTCTTACTGAGCCTTCTCCTAGCCACGTCTTTCGAATGGAATAATAATTCAGTTAAAAATAAAAAATCATCAATTAGTGGTAATTGATAATATTAGTTGATTGTGTTTGTAAAGAAAATGTACAAAAAAATAATATTCTAATTCAAAGTTGAAGCTCTGGGTGGAGAATACTTAAAAGCTGATGAAACTTTAATTTACTTTCTTTATAACCTTTTATGTCTCAGGCACGTTCAGATCAGCAATGAGTCAGCAATTGACTTCTACAGGAAGTTTGGCTTTGAGATTATTGAGACAAAGAAGAACTACTATAAGAGGATAGAGCCTGCAGATGCTCATGTGCTTCAGAAAAACCTCAAAGTCCCTTCTGGTCAGAATGCAGATGCGCAGAAAACAGACAACTGAACAAATTACAAATGAACTTTCTTGCACTTGCTTGTCGCCAAATAAAAGAGAGGCCCATTGATTCCCTGCCCCTGTCCCCCGCCTTTCCTAAGTTTTCCTCCCTCCTTGTTCCTTTTTTTCCTCATTTCTTTTCTTCCTCTAGAAGTTTTAATACTTTCAAGGACTTTTAAAAATAATCATGTTTGGATTGTTTTAGTTTTTCTTTCTCTCTCTCTCTCTCTCTTTTTTTTTTTTTTTTGGTGTGTGTGTGTACGGTGGTTGTCTTGAAAGAAGGAGAAGGTAGATCTGTTTAGTTTCACAGTTAAAATGTATGGTCCCAAAATTTGGGTGTCAGATGATTTCAATTTTTTTTCCTTATTTCCTGCTTTCACATTGAAGGGCAGAGCCTACAGATATTGTTTATTTCTAAAGATAAAAAGAAGCAGCAGCAATATCTTGTTCTGTAATTCATAGACAAGTTTAGTGTGTTTGTGGTACTCTAGATTCTTAAAAACTATTTGTGGGATGTTAATCCCTAGACATTGCCTTCACTCCACCTTTAGTCCTTCTGAGCACTTTCTCAGGAGTTGGACCATTTTTATCTTCGTAAGAAATATCAAGTTTATTTAGGTTTTTAAAGCAATTTTTTCCCCAACTGATGGATGAGGCAGTTTGGGTAGGTTGTGTTATATTTTGGTTTGAAAGCATTTGAGTTTAACTGCTTTTTTGCTAATGAGTGAGCTCTGGTTATTAGAAGATTTGTTTTTCTTGCTATTGATATTAGTGTCATTAATTTTTAGAGTATGAGCTGGTGAAAAAAACTTTTTTTATTCTCCCAGCTAGAGATATGGCCTTTAACTGACCTAAAGAGTTTTGTTGTGATTTTTTTTTTTTTCCCAACCTTTTTCCTTCAGCAAACCCAATAATAGTCTAACCTTAAAAGTGGAGTTGATGTCCTTATAGGTCAGTATCCCTAAATCAACCTAAAGCAGGTGTTTTCTCGTAAACATATTTTAAAAAAATACCCAAAAGGAAGCCTAGATGGACTGTGGCACAATAAATGCATTTAATGTCAACTAATGCAGGTTGTTAATTGAAAGTGTAGCCACTGAACATTTGATTGTATAGGAAAAAATATCTAAACAGTATTTTTGAGAATAACATAGCTATGCTATTGCTTATCTGTTGGAGAACATCCCAGATTTGCTTATACTCTGTGCCTACAATATTGAGTTTTAAGGATTTGGGATAAGGGGAATTGTTAAACAAATTGCTTCTAAGAAAGATAGAAGCATAAAGTATTAATAATGCAGATATCACTGTGACCTCCTCTACTGACAGACTGGTTTTTGTCAGGACATTTTCTGACACGTAGAGAGTGGCTTTAACAGGTTGATAACTTTATGAGAGACATCTGAAATACTTGTGTTTTACTCCCATTGCCCCATCTTCAATATTTAGAATTTTTTGGTTTGTCAGTAGTGATGGTTCTAGAAATGCTCTCATTATTAGACTTTACAAACAATGCACAGGGCTTGAGTTTTCTGTCATTTGACTTTAAGGAAGTTTGATTCATAATATTGATCCTCATGTAAAATTCTGGTATAAAAGTCTCATGTCCAAATAGGTTAAATGACAATATTATTTTATAGAATGTACACACTTTATATCCTTAAGTTTTTATTTGTAAGTGTGAGAGTACAAAGTAAAATAGGCTTCCATAGTCTTGAGTGCCAAGAAAAATATAAGAAAGGAAGATGGCTGGAGAATGAATTTTTAGTGTTCTAATCTTAAATTAGTAAAAATGTAGAAAGACCACACTGTTTTCTTCATTATCAATTCCTTAAACAATCCAAATGTAGGCTTAGAAGAAAAGTTTAGCATTAAGCACCTTTACCTTTGTGGATRAGATTCAGCTTGCTCTTGACAAGAAAAGAGTGCTTGAGTTAYAGGAAGTGTAATTAGTGTGAAGAATTCAGCCTTTTTGTAAACTTCCAGATATCAAAATAGATTTTGATATATAACTGAGTTTTCTGAGATGACACTGCCTCTATTTCTATATCCATTTCACCTGGACTTTCTAAGCAGTCCTATGAATGTATCCCTATATGTGGTTATCAAAAACCGAATAGCTGCCTCACGACAATTAAGTACTTGTTATTTAAAGAGGGAAAAATATTAAAGTTTGAATTGAGTTTGTAGGCYTTCTGTCATTTAGTTTCTTTTTCCACACTAGTTAAAAGATTTAACCTAAATTCTAAGTGTTTGTAAAGAGTTAACTGTCCTACATCAAACTTGTGTTAAATAATTCCATCCACTTATACAAGAAGAAGATTTGGAAGAAGTAGAAGTTGGGCACTAGTTTGTACGCCTATGAGTCAGTAAAGACTAAAGTAATACCCCATGTTGAGTTGATTATTTTGATATATGATAAAAAAAAATCTTTGAGGTAAAATAGTAATTCTGTTAACTGGAAGATCACAGGATATACCCATCATATTTTTCAGGACAGATAGTTTTTACAGTGGGGCAAGTAGGTTAAATTTATACTGTATGGAATTTGCATTTAGGTTCTAAAGAAAAGAATCTGTAGAGAAATCTATGCAATGTATAATTTGCCCAGATTAGTTTTCATTTGAGGAAAGGAGTTCTGAAATATCTTCAAAGTTTACTCATCAATTGAAAATCTTTCAAAAAGAGATTATTAGGAAACTGGTGTGTGGTGGTGGAAAAGAAAAGCTCCCTCAGTTTTTGGAGGGAAAACTTTAAAATTACTTTAATGGCTAAGTTTACTTGGTGCAGTTAAGAATTAAACTTGTCAATTTTAACATTGCTGTTACATCTGAAATAAACTTATGTGATGTTCTGGTAGTGATCTGTGATGTCCATAAGTGTCAAAGAATACCCTGCATTGTGCTGAATTCTGCAGCTGGCAACTGTATGTAGTCATTGTATACTGTTGCCCACACTATTTACTTCATATTTCTTTTAAGTATAATTTAAAACTCATTATTAATAGCTCAGGTGTAACCAAAGCATCCTAATTCAGACCTTTTGGAACTCACTAGAAACACTTTAAATATCTATAGTTTAATCCTATGGGAGAAAAAATATCCAAGGAGCTGGCCTGCTACTGTTTTGAATCTAATTTTTAAAAAATACATGGCACTTTAGGCTGCAATCTAATCAATAGTGTGAATATCTATAGATATGTACATTCAGATTTTTTTCTTTTTAAAATATAGTTTTGCACCTAAGAATCAATTAGGGAATTTAGGAATTGGATTCTTTTCCTGATATCAAACAAATATGAATTGAAAATTTTATCTTTAACAGAATGAACTTAATAATGCTTAATATTTCAGTGAAGACTGGTAATTTAATTTTACTATTCCATTCAAGAAACAATGGGCTGTCTTTGCCCAGTGTGCCTTATTTATAACATAAAATTAAGCAGTTTAAAATAATAAACATTGTCTCCCACAGTTTCCAAGGATCTAGGTTCGATTTACCTGGCTAGTTCTGGCTTGGGATTTCTTCGGGTTTGCAAAGGAGCTGTCAGCCAGGGCTGCTGCATCTTGAAGGTTTGACAAGGGCTAGACAAGCCACTTACAAAATGGTGCAGTCACCTAGCTGTTGAGCCTCAGCTCCTCATTATGTTAAGTGTTGGATTTAAATTTCCATCACAAATTAATATAAAAATAACCACATTTGGGGCTGGTGTTGTGGCTCAGTGGTAGAGCACTTGCCTAGCATGTGTGAGGCACTGGGTTCAGTTCTCAGCACCACATATAAATAAAATAAAGGTCCATCAACAACTAATAAAAAAAATACCACATTTGTGATGGAAGCTTAAATCCAACATTTAGGAAGACATCCTAGTGTCCACAAAACATTTATTTAGAGTCCACAAAAATTCAAGACATCTGCCAGGTGCAGTGGTGTACACCTGTAATCCAAGTGGCTTGGGAGGCTGATAGGAGGGTCGTGAGTTCAAAGCCAGCCTTAGCAACAGTGATGTGCTAAGCAACCTCTAAATAAAATACAAAATAGGGCTGGGGATGTAGCTCAGTGGTCGAGTGCCCCTGAGTTCAATCCCTGGTACTAAAAAAGTAAAATTCAAGACGTCTGAACTCATAAGGGATTTAAGTGAAAATTAAAGCATGTGTTAAATGGCTGTAGAGTCAACAGGTTAGCTGATTAACAGATTTTTTTCCTTTGGCCAAATTTCTGGACCTCATGTAGTTAGCTCATCTTTGAAAAGTCATTGACAATATCAAAAGTGCTCTGAATATTTAAACATCTTGAATTTTATCACTGGCAGTCTACCCTAAAGCATAGTAAAACTGTCAAGATTCTGTATATGTATTACTTAAATTATTTCCACAATTTTTCTGAGCACCTGTTCTTCTAAATTCTGGGTCTACAGTTAGCAAGGCAGTACTTGGCCTCTGTTAAGGTAAGTAAAATTCTATTTTAAGTAGAATTCATGTGACAGCCTTCCTTTACTAAAGTGAAGATCAGCTCCCTCAAAGGTCTTGATTTTACTTTTAACTTTGAAAAGAACTTGGCAGAAAGAAATATTCCCTACAATGACGGGTTTTCTCTTACCGTTGGTTCAAGTATAAACAAAAAGACTAATGATCACAGACTAGCTTAAATCTGGTGACTTAGCTTGTGATCATGTCAGACAAATTAGGATTGATTTCCTACATAATTTGACATTTTATCTCAGGATCCAAATGCCTCATTAGGTCTTTCATTTTGGTTTCTGTTTAACACAGACTTCTCCAGTTCTAGGAATGGTTATTTGGCATTCCTTTCATTTTATTTATTTTACATATAAGCAGAGTTGTATGGCTCCTGATTATATTTGTGCAAGTGACATCATACTTTGTCTTATTTACTATGTGATAGTTTAAACACTGAATTCAAGTGTAACTTTCACAACTATTCAGCACTTACTAGCCTCTCCATCCCCCACCACTTTTTTCCCCTAATCTTGGTTTACATAAAATTATCTAGTGTCTCCAAGTCAAAATTCTGCCTATAATATGTACTCGGGAACAAATTAGTGTCCTAGAATATCACAGGTCCTCAAGTTTTTTTTTTTTTTTTTTTTTTTTAAGTGCTTGTAATTTACAGGGTTAGTACCCTGACAGGATCCCATAAGCATCAGGCACTGACATGAAAAAAAAAAG